AATTAATCGCCTCATATTTGGCCAGTTTGAGATTATAACTGCATCTGTTGCTGATACATTTTGGTCATTGCCATTGGGTCAGTTCCAGTATTTACCATCATCCTTGTCAACGATTAATGGACTAATTTAATACATCTTTTTATAAATTATATTATAAGCATATAACTTTGAGTAAAAAACTGAACTGAAAAATTAACATGAATTGGTATGTTTTAACTTTTTAAAGTTTTTGTAAAACATGATGATCATATTTCCCAGAATTCTATCCACTGTATCATAACTTGGCCAACTTTTTATTTATGTAAAGTAGGGATGCACTTATACCGATACTGGTATCAGGCCCGATACTGAGCTCCTGTACTAGTACTCGTACTCATTAAAATACCCCGATACCAAACGCCGATATGACACAGCATGTGATAAGTGCCATATTCAGACAAAGAAACACCGACAACAGAAAGCAGAATGGAGTTATTAGAGATTAAAGATGTCTACGAAGTGTGTCGCTGAGTGGATTGAGCGCGCGGCGGCGCAGATACGCGAGCTTGTCGAGAGAATATCCCTTTCTCACAGACATCACTGGAAAGTTTGTAGTTCGGTCGGATATGTCAAAAAGAAGTAAGTAAAACAATGCACAAGTTGCTTAATGGTAGGGAGGGAGGAAGAGAGAGAGCGCGCACACTTTTGTGTGATCTTTATTGATGTTTGCTCACTTAGCACGCATCATTTGGATTAAAACTAAATCGTAAATATAAGACAATTTATAGGGGCATTCACTATAAACGTCATTTATTTTCACCATTAAGCATACACGACTTTCTGGCGAAAGTGAAACTAGCAGCCTGTGTGAACTGCGCTATGTACTGTACTTGTCCCTCTCATTCTGCACCAGTACAAATACGTGTGCGTGTTGTGCATGTTTTGCTTGCTTCATGGGTGTTTCTGCATTATATGAGTGGCTTTGGAAAATAAATCGCTGCACGGTTCAGATGAAAAAAAAGCGCAACTTCTATTTATGAAAATATCACAGTTAGGAGATTTATAACGAGTGGTTCCCGCATTTTTACAGCAAATCGCGTGATTACAGTACTAACCCGCTGCAATGGAGCAGCTCTAATGCTATTAAATTAAAGATGATGTAGGCTACCATAGAGAGAGAAAAAAAATGAACAGTGAAAGTAACAAAAAATTGTAAAATAAATTTTAATGGGCATAGGACAACAAAATAAAGTAAACTGTGAGAAATCATACCCAAAAATTCTTCATACAGTGGACTACCAGTAAAATTTATACAAATTTGGGTCCAAAAATTATTCAGACCGAGTCTGGGGAAAAAATTGAAGTTGAGGTTTGCATGAAGCTGGGTGACAGCATGCCCAGGAGACTACAGGCTGTCATTAAGGCTAAGGGTCACCCGACAAAGTATTGATAGTTGTGTAAATATTGACAGCTGTATGAATAAGTTTTGGTTTATTGTAATCCATTACATGCCTTTCTATCAAAGTTATCTGACATTATCAAGCTGAATTTGTTCTGACACAGTTTAATTCTGAGTTCTTGTCATATTTTATTACCATTTTCTAAACTATAGCGAATAAACTGTGATAATGTGAGAAATGTTGAAGGTGTCTGAATAAATTTTGGTTTGACTGTATCTATTTGATAAATGAAGTTAACCAACTAACATAATACATACCCCTTTGGTTTCTGTACCCAATATTTAAAAAATGTACAAATGCAATGTAAATATTGGTATCAGTACTCGGTATCGGCAAGTACCAAAAATAAAAGTATCGGTATCGGGCGAGTACTGGAAAAATTGGTATCGGTGCATCCCTAATGTAAAAACTTAAATGTGAAGCAATGGGCAAAAACGTTGTCCACCTGCTTTTGCATGCTTGTAGCAGCAGTTTACTCCTAAACATTAAACAAAATGTGACATATGTACTACAAATGTAGTTTTTTGCTTCCCTTTTATGCCACAAAATAATAATAATACCAATAACAATAAGGAAAAACAGAAAATTTATAAACATTTTCTAAAAGTATTTTCTAAAATAGAAAATTTGTATTTTCTAAAAACTATTTTTTCTAAAATAGTAAAAATACTAATACATGTAAAATTAATTAAAAATAAAAATATTTAAAATAATTTAAATTCTATATTTATTTATAAATAATACATGAATATAATTTCTGGTATACTTTTAGCAGATATATGCATTTCATATTTAAATTTTTCTCTCCACTTTTTCAACATAAAATAATAAAAATAATAATATATGTAAAATTAATTACAAATAAAAAAATTTTTTAATTCTATATTTATTTATAAATAAATGTGTTAATATATCATTTCTGGTATACTTTTATCTATCTATCTATCTATAGAGGGATACATATAAACGACAGCACTACTATTTCAAAATGATACTTCAAATCCTGTGAGCATAAATCTTTGCGCCACAATTTATATTACACCAGCAGGGGGCACTTTAGGAATTCATTCACAAATCAGAAAAAAACACACCTCAAAAACAACAACAACAACAAAAAGAATTGTATGCACATAAAGGCACAATATGTAAGTTTTTTTTATTAAAATATCCCAAAACCACTAGAATAGTGTTATATATTTTGCTGACTTGTGTACTTGCATTATCCCAAATGTTTCGAAGAATGTTTAAATCCAGAGAAATAAGCAATTTTAACTAGTGACACGGACCGTGTCCATAGTGTCATTGTGTCGCCTGCCAATGACGTCATAACCCCTCGATTTCCGGTTTTGTTTGGACATGGAACATGGAAACGCCAAATACGCTTTAATATGTTGTGTGTTTTAATAGACCGGTGATGACCGCACAGAGTAGCATAACAACAGAACGTTCAAATGTATCTAGTATGATAAAACAGCGCTCCCCCCCCCACCCCCCACATACCCACAACCTGAAGGATACCAATCACCATTGAGTGTTCACTTTCAGCGCTGAGGAGTGTTGAGAAACGAAACCTCGCAAGGGAGGCTAGATATCAACCAATCATCATAGAGACGTAAATTACGTGATATTAGTCTCCCGCTGCGCTGATAATGAAGCAAGTAGTTATTATGAGTAGCGATATTGAATATTTGATCGCCAACAGATTTACCAAGCTGTCATTCAAACAGTATATATATACAAAAAAAAAAGGGAAAACACGCCTAACTGGATATAGGCTACAGCAGTCGGCTTAATTAAATGGCAGCTCTCCTAGCTCTTTTTTAACACAGACTTTTAAGAAGGGATGGATGTTTGCTTCAAGTGATAGGCCAGGTAAGTGAAATTATATTATCTTGCTGTATAATTTTAAAGTGGTTAAGCAAATAATAATAATAATAATAATAATAATTGGCAAGGTTCCCAGACCAATACAATTAGTGTGCCTCCTCTATTTTAAAACCCACGAGCCGCCACTGATAGTGAGTCCTTTTATTAAAACACCTGGAGCCTAGGTAATACAAAAATAAAACATTCACTCAGTATCACTTGATGTAATTCACAGCTATTTAAATTTACAATTAAGTACAAATTAATATTCAGTTGTGTTTTAGGGAAACACATGTTTGTGAATGCGCATTTGATTTACATTTGAGAGAAACTAACATTGGATACAAACTAGCCACTTATCGCTGACATTTGCTTTGTAAATTCAAAATAGGCCATCTGTGTAATTCAAGTAGATTCAATTTGTTGAAAACTCTTGCTACTTCATACTTCAATACAAAACAATGCTGAACTTCGACAAAAAAGAGATTTTTAAATGTTATAATAGTGATTTTATAATGTCTAAATATAAATCAATTAGCAAAACATGTGAAAAGAACTATATTACAGAGTGGAAATGGTAAAGGAGACAATAAATGATCCTCTGCTGCCATTTAGTGGTCATAGTGGGAATCATGGCATTCATTTTAATAGTATTTATTTTTCTACCAGGTGAAATCTTGGCAGAAATCTTCCACTTAGCACGGCAAATTTTCCATGAATTATCTCTTTAAGTAAAAATAAAAATAAAATAAAAATGTATAATTGTAATAAAAGTGCAGATAAATTTAAAATAAATTGTACTATATAAAAACGTGCAAAAGTATTAATAATTTTGAGGCAAATGAGATATATATGCATATATATTCAAATTACATAACTAAAAAGTGAGCTATAGTACATGTGTTTGAAAATAAAAATAAATAAAAAAATGTGTTCTACTGTCTGGGGGTCTGCCATCAGGAGTTAAAGGGGATGTTATGTGACACACTTTTATTTTTTTTACTTTTCACTTTTTTCCCTATGGAATCAAAAAAGGGGGAAGGGGGTTCAAACCTTTGTCACTTTTTTCACTCCTGATGAGTTTGTACCCTTCCATGCACAAGCTAGTAATGGGCTTTTGGTCATTGACTTGCAGAAAGTTTTCTGCAGGAGTTAGTGTTAGAGGCTACTAGAATACAGGGGGCGCCGACACTGATCTTGCATACCCCTCGGCAAATGTGCAGTTGCCCCCATTACTTGCTAATGAGACGCTTAACCGCTGTCTACGAACCCGGTGCACGTGCACACCACAGTGTGTGAGCATGCTACAGTAAACCTGCATGTTACAGTACGCCTGCGACCAAACGTGCTTCAAGCATGAATCATTAAAGCAGTGTTGTCCCAAGCGGCTTGCGCTAGCTAGCTTTTTCCTGGAGGTGTTTTACGTGAAAGCGCGGCTTTCAGCCCCAGCTGTGTTGTTTGGTAAACAGCCCTGTTGCTAGGCAGACCTGTATTATTGCTCCACCAATCAGGGCCTGATTTGACGGGTGAGTGGGACACAGCTTAAGCAAGAGTTATTTTTACAACTGCGCTCCAGATAATGCCTCGACACAAGTAGTAAAATGTAGAATTAAAGGTCACTGCTATCAAAAGGCATACGTGTATCTGTGTGTGTGTATATGTGTGTGCATGTGTGTGCAAGTCCTGCTGTCATACCTCATTCAGTCGCCTCCAGTGTTTCAGTGAGTGTTGCGGCCCATTGAAGTCGTTACAATCCCAACGCAACTCGTAGTTTCAGCGCAGGCCTCCAGCACAGCCTGTGGACACAAACACACACAAACACACATATATTACTCAATAATCCAGAGCCAGCAGCCTGTACAGTCACAAACAGGACACCTTCCTACCCTTGAATTCCCGTCCTGTCCCGAGCCCGTGAGCTAAGCGCTGAGCGAACATGATCCACATACAGATGCACTCAGGTGCATTTACTCTAGTAGTCATACTACTGCAACTCTGTCATCTTGCAGCTCCACTCCCTTCAGACGCTCACAACACAGAACGGACCGCTATGGAAACCGAGTAACAAGACAACACAAAGGCGGAGGTGTGGGTGTACATTGAGTGTGCTCTTTAAATAAAGATGGTCCTTATTAGAGCAGCTCTCAGATCAGCGTTGAGCTCGCGAGCGACCATGACGCACCGTAGCTGCTGCTAGACTTTATTTGGTTTCTTTCAGTAACCACCTGTGGTATTCCATGAGGCATAAAGCGGGAATGACATCACATCCCTCAACTCCCAGAAGTGCAGATCTTAGATCAGTATTCAGGAGTAGGACTCCGCAGCACAGATTGCAGATTGCAGCAAGGAAGCCATGTATCATTTATCTCTGGGGCATTACGTGAGAAATAAACTGTTGCCTTCAGAGGATTAGATAGCAGCAATCTATTTCCAAATGACATGCCCTCTGCTTATGTAGCATTTGTGTTGCAACTAGGGATGTGTAAAAATAATTTTAAAAGTTGACTAGTCAACTAATCTTTAAGAACGGGAAGCCCTGTATAAAAAGGTTGATTTCAGGTTCACCTCAGCCTTTTTTAGCAATCACAAACATCCATAAAGTGCTTGATTATGATCTAACGAATGAAAAAAAAACTAGGGGTCTTGAGATGCTTTTTTTAAAAAGATGGACTGAGATCATCTACTGTACATGACCGTTTAAACCTGAATGCAGAACGAAATTACTTTTAGCAGATAATATCCATTACTACTACTACTACTACTACTAAACGTAAAATGAATAATGTAAAAGTAAAATTTTAAAAATAAATAAAAATATTAAATTTTTTTTTTAGATATATTTATTTAAATACATAACACAGTTAGATTTTATAAAATACATGCATTTCAAAATTAAGACTTTCTATAAAAAAGTAAAATTTGTTTAAAAAAATCCAAATTAAAAACACAAAAGAATTTTTAAAAAATGATAGATTTATACATTTGTTCATATATACTGTATTAATAGATAATTTATAGTAAATTTTATCAGATATATAGATTTCAAAATCAAAATGATCTCTACACTTTTTTGTCACGTAATAATAATAATTATTCTTATTATTCTTATTATATTGTTTATAAAAATAATTTATAAAAGATATTTTATAATATATATGCATTTCAAAATTAAAACTTTCTCTAAATTAATGTAAAATTTGTTAGTTTAAATTTAAAATTATTTAAATTACTTTAAATAAAATATACTCAATTATAAATAAATTGCAGATAAATATATCTGTTTATATATATAATGTATTTAATACATCATTTACAATATATTTTATCAGATAAATGCATTTCAAAATTAAATCTCTCTACACTTTAATGGCACAAAATAACAACAATAATAACAATGATGACAAAAAGAAGAAATCTAAAATTAATTATAATTAAAAAAAATAGAAAAGAATTATATAATTCTATTCTATATCAGATATATGCGTTTTCAAATTTACAGTCTTTCTCTACACTTTCTCTACACCACAAGATGTCCATTGTCACTCATCTCCTAGTTGCACCAAAGAAGCAGCAAGAGGAGAGGTCATGGTTATATGGCAATGTCATTTTGTGCTTTCTTTGCAGTGATTACCAAGTATACACTTCTGCATATTGTCCAGTTCTGCAGATTAATTATCCTCTGTACTGCTTTGGCAACATTGTATTTTGGCAGACGTGCTGATAAAGCACCATTGATGAGAGAGATAGAGCAAAAGAGAGAGAGAGACCAGACAGATGGTCACAGCGGGTGGGTGCAGTAAAACTTGTGACAACAGCCATTAGTGCTACAGGAGTCTGAGACCGAGGACAGATAATGGGATGTGTGAACATGTGAACGAGGGAGAGAATGAGTGAGAAACCTAAACGCAACAGTGGAGAAAACCAAGACATAAGTGCTATAGACAGTCAACACAACATTATATGTAGACAAATAGACCATCCTCTGGTATCAAAACACGCCACTTTGCACTGTCTTCCAGAATCCTATGTGCTTGAGAAGCTCTGAAATACATGCATCATATGTGGTCTTACTGTAGATGATTCATCAGTGTGTGTTAATTTAAAAAGAAAAATGTTTGGCATGTTCAGAATACCACACTATAATAATACTCAAATCTCATATGGTGTTCCGCAGGGTTCCATTTTGGGTCCTCTACTTTTTGCATTATATATGCTTCAGCTAGGTCATATTATTCAGAGACAACTTATTTCTTATTTGATTGCTTGCAGATGGTTCAAAACATGGCAGCCAGATTACTGACCAACACTAAAAATGTGAGCATATTAAGCCTGTGCTCACCTCTCTTCACTGGTTACCGGTTAAGTTCCGTATTGTTTATAAAATTATGCTTTTTGTTTTTAAAGCTTTGCATGGGCTTGCACCTCAGTACATTTGTGATCTTCTCACTCCAAATACTGCTTCAAGACCCCTTCGATCATCTAGTCAATTTCTTCTATTAGCTCCACGTTCTTGTTTTAAAGCTAAAGGTGATCAGGTTTCTCGTTGGCTGCCCCTAGGCTCTGGAAAAGTCTTTCTCTCTATATTTTATCTGCTCCTTCTACTTCTGTGTTCAAATCCTCTTGGAAGACCTATTTCTATTCTTTGTGTTTAAATTCTTCCTAAGAGACATTTTATCATTTGTCCGTTTCGTTGTGTTTTGTATACTGTCTAGTCTTTTATTTTGTTTTAATCTTTTTGTATATTTTCTGTACAGCACTTTCAACATCTGTTGTTTTTAAATATGCTTTATAAATCAACTAAACAACTCAAACATACTATGTTCAGTATATAGTATGCAGCAATGCACTGTAATGTATAATTCACTGTGCACAGTTTGCCATTGGCATGCAAAATGGCACTATTAATAAAATGTGCCCCCCACACAATTTAAATTAGCACAAATGTGCACATATTTTCAGTGTATTTTCAGTACTCTTTTGTAACGTCTTTTATTTTCCCAGATACATTGTCAAAGCCTTTCAAATTAGGATGAAGATGGCGATTGTTGTTGTTAAATTCGTATTTTCACACATTTACAGCCTACAGCAGCGTGGTAACATGCATGCTACAACAACAGTTTGCTTTTACAATGCTGTCCCTAAATACTAAGAGAAGTATTGAATAAAATGACTGACTCACAGCAGGTTGCTATAATAACTTCAAACGTTATGCAGCAGTTTAGGTTAGTAGGTCACTCCTAATATATCATAAGGAAATCATGTTTAACCCTATCATTTTTACATCATGTAATTCAACAGAAAAGGCAGAGCGTTGAATCAATAGATTAAATAGATCAAAAGCAATAGATTTAACAGATAGTTGTCAATAGATTAAACAAGAAAAGGCTGCCACTGCATTTTTTTACATTGTAATAATAAAACCAGTCAATTAGACAAAAGTCAGAAAACTTCTGAAATGAAATTTTTGTATGTATGAAATTATTCAGATAACCTACTTAATTTCCCAGAATGTGTAGTATATATAACAGTCCACTGCATGTAATACTATAATGAAATGCATTTCACTTGATCTTCCATTTCCAGTATGTCGAACAATCCAGAAGTAATATTAGGTGTGATTTTAAACATCATGACTCATAACTTGTTTGAATATTACTAATAACTATTAATAGATATTACTCATAAGATGAAAACTGGATGCTACGTAATGAATTTACATGTACAGTACATAATGAGACCATGTGACAACAATGTTGCATATTATTGTTAGAAATGTTTGTTGCACAATACAAATGGTGGGAAAATAATATTAACCAATAAAATCAATAAAACAAATGTAAATAAACATCTTTAAGAAACGACTAAGGACACATCTCTTCCATGAACTCCCACTGAACAAAACTGTATAATTAACATCAGATATTTTCTGACTGGCTGACACTGTGTGGCATCACACATTTTCCCTTTTAGGTTGGACAGACAACTTTTGGCTGGACTCTGGTCATGTTTTGCACATAACTGTGATTGTTGCAGTGGAATTACCCTGTTGTAGTGCTAGTACTTACTAAAACCAGCTGATTTAAAGAGGATCCGGATACTGGTTATTTGTCAATACCAATGCACTAAAATTAAACATACCGTACTGCAGATTCTACAGCTTGAATATCCTACCTCAAAATGCCTCTTTTCCACAACTCAGATGAGCATGAGAGCGCTGCTATGAGCACAGCGTGAATGATCAATCTAATTATTACACCTGGTGCTGTTCATCAATAGGTAACCAAGCATGATACTAATTCCAATGAAGCATCTATTTTGAATTTCTAGAAATCAGAGGTTAAAACTAAATCCTGTGGCTGCATGGTTATATCAGATCTATTCAGCTGGTTTAGTATGCGAAAAAGACACCTTCAAACGCTATTACAGTCACTTTAATGCCTTTTTCCCCTTTCATGTGTCACATGGTTGTGGCTGTAGCCACAAGTCATAAACAGCAATGGGGTAATTCTGCAAGCTCAGTCTTTTTATGAGACACAGCTCACACTGCTAGCATCATTTAAACATTTCCCTGAATGTCACTTCCCTCAAAGTTACTATCAGCTCTAGCTCTAGGAGTTGGTGTTGGGTAAACAAGACTGCCAGGAGGTCAGTGTTTAAGGTGACATGTATGTGTAGAATGAGAAAAATGCTTTTAAGAACAAGATGATGTGTGTACAACATCTACTACTGTTGCAACTGCAGTCAAACATTGACTTGTTTGGTTTGGTTGAACAAGTAATTTCTACAATACCATTGT